TGTGTGTGTGTGTGTGTGTGTGTGTGTGTGTGTGTCCGTCTGCAGAGGGCAGCGCCTGTGAGGAGAGCATCTGCAATGAGGGCAGCGTCTGTGAGAGCGACTCCACTTTCTACAGGCAAACTGAAGGTGAACGCAGACTTTCCAGACTCTATTGTCCACACTGTAGACCTGGTTTTGTTAAATAATATCAAATGCAATGCAATTATTGTTTTTTTTTTATTTATTTAAATGTTGCATCAGATATTAGCCAAGCATTTGACACTTCAAACATTCTTTAGTAACACAACCAGGACCAAACGACCAGCTGTTTACTCAGGGTGGGTCTAAAAAAAGTCACTATTCAAATTTTCAAGTTTTGTGCATCAGTGAGGAGAGAAACAAATGTAACGAGTTAAATATATATTTCTAATATGTAAAGCTATTAACGTTCAGTTTTTCTTGTTTTTCTAATCCTCTTTGATCTGAGGTCCCTGCAAATTTAAATTTCCCCACTTTGCAGCAGATAAAGCTGCCATTAAATAAAAAGTTCTTTATTTTAGAGTGTCAGTAGCACCAGAACCAGATGTGAGTTTTGTCTCGTCCGTCTCTCTTGTCCTGACTCTGCTGGTTCGCTGCACTAACATGATATAAGAGCCTGCAGACAGAAAGGAAATGCTGCAGCAGCCTGACGCTTGTGTTCTGAATTATAGGGGGAAAAATGGCAGAATTAAACTGAGAAGGATCAAATATGTGTTATTTCTTATGCAATCTGTTTGGTTAGATGTGTAGTATCGTGATTGTGTTTAATACGTGATAACTGTGTTCAGAGCACAGCATGGCAGAGACGCTCAGTGTGGCCACGCGGGTCGCAGAGGAAGTCATAGATGAAGCCATTTCCACAGCTGAGTTTGACGCCTCAACTCAGGTGATTCATGTTTTTCTGTCTTTTTAAATATTCAGTTCTTTGCTGCAGTAGTTACAGATATAATTACTCATTAGTTGCATTAAAGACTGTCATTTAATCGTTTGAACTTTAGTGTAATTTGTCTTTTTTTGATCACACTGAATGAAACCTTACTGCTGCAGTTAAAACATTGCTTTAATACCGATAAAACCTGGGTTTATTTATTTAATATGTTAAGAATATTTACAAAGAAAATAAATTGAAATATTTTGCAATTCTTGTACTTTAATATCCTCTTTGGAACCTGAAAAACAATTTCATTTTGGAGATTCAGCCTGTTTTTACATAAAGAAAACCAACAAAAAAGAGTTTAGCTCACATTGCATCAACTTTTGACACTAATAACTTTTCGTTTAGATAAACCTTCACCAGTTATGGGGTCTCTCTAAAAGAATACATTTATCCTGAATCTTTTTATGTGTGCTTATTTTATTGTCTAAATAATTTAATGGATTCTGCCAGGAAAAAATAATCCTGAGATCAACTGAAATATTCTGAAGCTTTTGAACTCAGTTCAGGAAATACGTATACTCTGTATATTTAGAGACGTAATCAGCTTAATGTGTGCTGTTGAATACATTTCCTAATATTGTGGGGTTTTTTTTTGTTTTGTTTTCTCTCAGGAGAAGCAAAATGAAGCCCGTTATCTGCGGCAGCACAGAGGAGAGCTCATCGAGGAACTGGCCAAAACCATTGTCCAAAAAGTATCATAAAAACCTACATTAAACTGCAGCAGATGATTTATTGTTATCAGGATGATTCATTTTTCTGTTTGAAGTCAGTTTAAAAATGCTTATATAAAAGCCCGTCGTGAGAGGGTTCCACACAGACCTCCTCCACATGAGGAAACAAAAGCATTCTTTCACTGCTCTGTGTGTGACTGCAGCTAATCCTGCTCTCTATGTGTGTAAGATAATTAGCAGGAGGAACGCTTTGGCTGAGATGAAGGCTGAGTATGACCACAGCTGGCCCCTGGAGCACGCTGCTGACCTTCATCATCATCATCAGCCTCTAAGTGATCAAGCCTCCAGCTGCTCGAAACCAAAACTTTGGGTAAAAATGTTAATATTCAGAACCAGCTCTAATAAACACCGATTCTTTAGTTTTGTCAAAATGATGCGTCTTTTGTTTTGCACACACTGACCTCTGCTGGTTAAACACTCCTCAGGTTTGATGTTGTCAGCAGAGTTTTTGTTGTATCTCTGCCCTCAGAAGTCACATTTGGCCCTCAAGCTCCTGGATGATGCCTCTGCTGCTCAGGTACCTGACTCTCCATCTCCATCAGCGTCCTGATGCATCTCAGTAATCCAGGTAAAAAATCAAAGGAAAAAAAATTGTATAGGTCCTCTGGACGGGTTCTTCTTTAATGAAACGTTTCGTCTCTCTTCCAAGAGACTTCTTCAGTCTGAGAGTTTCAGGCAAAATTCAGGCTTTTATGTCCTCCCTCCAGGTGACTGATACTCACATCACATGACCATCGTTCACAGGTGACTCCCACTCACATCACCTGGCTATGACTCACAGGTGACTGATACCCACATCACATGGCCATCGTTCACCCTAATTAATCCCTTTTGTTAACAGGGGGTGGAGTGATACTGCCAATGGCAGCGCTGTAGCAGGGGGACAGCTGAAAACGGAGGCCCCCACCTCTGTTTAATGACGGACGGTCTTTCTTTACAAAAATGGCTTCTTTTACTCCTCTCTCAAACCAACGTTCCTCCCTATCAAGAATGAGAACATCCTCATCTCTGAAAGAGTGACCGCTGGCCTGTAAATGAGTGAAGACTGCAGAGTTCTGGCCACTAGAATTAGCTCGTCTGTGTTGGGACATTCTTTTGAACAGTGGCTGCTTTGTTTCCCCGATGTATAACTGGTCGCAGTCCTCCTGGCACTTCACAGCATATACAACATTGCTCTGTTTGTGCCGGGGCACCGGATCTTTGGGGTGAACCAGCCTTTGCCGTAATGTGTTTTGGGGTTTGAAAGCTACTGGGACATCATGTTTAGAAAATAAACGTCTCAGTTTCTCCGAAACACCCGCAACATACGGAATAACCACTGGTTTGGGTCTGGGTTTGGGGTCTTCATTTTCACCTGAAGGTTGCATGGAGTCCTGTCTGTGTTTCCTGTCTGCTTTCAGGAAAGCCCAGTCAGGATAACCACACTGCTCCAGGGCCTGTCGTGTGTGTGATTTCTCTTTCTGCCTGGCTCCTGGGTTTGTAGGGACACTGTCTGCTCTGTGGTACAGAGTCCTGATCACTCCTAACTTGTGTTCCAGTGGGTGGTGGGAGTCAAAACGCAAATATTGGTCTGTGTGGGTGGGCTTACGATACACGCCAGTTTCCAACCGTCCTCCATCCGAAACCGAGACATCGCAATCCAGGAACGCCAACCTGCCATTTTTTACATCCTCTCGTGTGAACTTAATATATTCATCCACAGAGTTGATGTGGTCAGTGAAATGTTGGACTTCCYGGGCTTTAATTTTAACCCAGGTGTCGTCAACATATCTGAACCAATGGCTCGGTGGCACCCCTGAAAAGGACATCAAGGCTCTCTTTTCCACCTCCTCCATGTACAGGTTTGCAACAATAGGAGAAACTGGGGATCCCATGGCACACCCATGTTTCTGCCTATAATATTGCCCCCCATACGTGAAGTAGGTTGATTCGTGAGAATGAAACGTTTAATTAAAGAAGAACCCGTCCAGAGGACCTATACAATTTTTTTTCCTTTCATCTCCATCAGCCTTAAAGAAGGAGGGCGGCGGGTTGGCCATGACTGCATGGAGGAGTGTAGATCGACTTGACAACTCTGGTGAGACTTTCTCTTCTCTTTCAGATTCTGGTGGAGATCCAAAGATTTTTAAAGATGTCTCTTCTTTGTTGGACTTCGTGTGTCCTCAGTGCTGAAGAGCCCAGACGGGAACTGGATCGCCCTGCAGAGTGCCCAGCTGTCCCGCCCCACCCTCCTCACCAAAAGGAAGAGCCTGGTCTACAGCGCCTTGGAGAGGGAGTCCGGAGCCGTGTCGGCCTACGAAGGTCTGGACTCTGACGGTGAAAACAAACCAGAGCCTGACAGTTCCTGGGGAGCCGTCCTGCAGGAGATCCACAGGAAGATGATGGACTCGAACCTCAACCTGCACGACTTCGACAACAGCGTCACGCCTCTGATGGACCACCAGGTCGAGAGAGATGATCTGTTCTCAGACTCCGAGGGGAACTGGAAGTCCAACAAGCCTCTGTTAGCTCTTCTGAAGCGGAAGGTGCCCGCGGAGATCAGGAAACCGTCGTCGTCCCGCAGGACCAGCATCATCGACGTGAACTTTAACTCGACGGGCGACGGAGATGGGGAGGAGGAGGTCAAGATGGCTGCTGAACCGAAGACAAGGAAAATGAGGAGATCACGGAAGAAGAGGAGAAGCAAAAAAGAGCCATCAGCTTCTGTGTCGGTAAGAAATAAGATTTACCTCAAAACTGATCAGATCCGTTGTCTAATCTACAGAATTTTAATTAGGGATGGGTACCTTTGACATTTGAATCAATTCGGTACCAATATCCGGCACCTGGGAATCGGTACCGGTACCAATTTTTGGTACTTTGTGAGTGTTTTTTTTATAACAAATCAATTTTTTTTAATTTAACATATTTATTTCTCAATAAATAAATATTAACAAATATCAAGACAACATCCAACTCTTTGTACTGTAACATCAGTTGTTTAACTAATTTTTTAAAAGTGAAAACTCTTGAAAACAACAAGACTGTTTTGTTTTATTGCACAAATTAAAATCCAGCTCCACGTATTTCTATTGATGTCATTTCCTCGCTAGAAAAATTGTGTGATGAGGGTCCATGGAAGGCAAATATGTTTAAATCAAATAAACAAAAGAGGATTGAGTTAAAAGGTGTTCAAGCGACATTTTGAGCATCCAAAACACATCCAACACTTCAAGTTGGCTGCTTGTGCTCCTTCAGGTCAGATGTGTTCTATGTGTCAGGAAGCACCTCTGTTGTTTTCCTCTGCCGGTCTCTGTATAATGGTGAATGAAAGAAAGAAAGTGGTGGTACTTTATTTACTTTGAGCAAGCGAATGTCGTGCTCACAAGATAATTAATTCATCAGAGGCAGTCTGTTGGGTGAGTTTCACTCCAGGAGCTGCGAGGCTTTCAAGCTACACCAAACTACTGAACCAGCGGCTGCTGGCATCATTACGCATTTGCGTGATGCTGCATTCATGACAAGCATGGAAAATCCCCCACTCTTACGCAAATACGGTCAAAATGATATGTTTAGGTACAGAAACATGGTACCGTTTGATGTTACCTGAATAGGTACTCGGTAATACCGACAGAATTCTGTCGGTACTTATAAAAGTATCGAATTCGGTACCCATCCCTAATTTTAACTGATAATTATTTACATCGACATTTACCTAATCACGCATAATCATACTAAACTGTTCAATTCTTTGAATTTGCAGCATTTCAACAACAAAGCCAGTTCTCCTCTACATCCCTCTGACACTGGGACTCCTGACACTGTCACCTCCGGAGTCACCACCCCTGAACCTTTTGACCCTGACGGTGACATCACTGGAAATGGAGACAATCACATTGTGGAGGATTTTAGTTTGAAACGGCACCAGTTTGAGAGCCGAGTTTCCGGATCTCCCACCAGAGAAAAAACAGATGAACAATATAGTACTGATGGTGGAAAAGAGGAGGGAAGGTCACCCAAGGTGGATGCTGACTCGGATGGAGGAAGAGAAGATGACGAAGAGGTGAATTACCGGTTGTGTCGGCTCGTTTCACAGTTCAGCCTCCCTGACTTCTCCTCCACTGACTATGAGCTGGACAGAACCGGACAAAGTGAAGCAGAATGGGACCAAGAAAAAGGCCTAGAAGAGGGCGATAAGGAGCAGAAGATGGAGCGACTAAATTATAAACTGTGTCAGCTGGAAAAGGAAGTCAAGGCATCGCAGTTGTCCTCCACCGAAGAAGAGCTGGACAGAGTGGACTTTGACGAACACAGAGAGGAAGCTCTGGCTGTTCGATTGTCCAGATTAGCTAATGAAGTTGACCCCGCCCAGTTTTCATCCACAGAGTACGAGCTGGACAGGTCGGGACGAGGAGACGGCGAAGAGGAGGCGATGGATGAAGAGACGCTGTGGAAGCTGCAGCCGGACAAAACTCAGCTGTGTCATTTGGCCAGTTTGGTCAGTGCCTCCCAGTTCTCCTCCACTGAGGACGAGCTGGACCGAGTGGGAGAGAACGAGGGAGACGGCGGAGAGATGAAGGAGCTGTGGGATGGAGCAGAATCCATCGGAAACGTAGACCTGAAAATGTTTGACTTGAGGGAGGAAACCCGAGAACAAAGAGTTTTGGAGAGGCTGACGAAGAGTGCGGATGACGAAACCAACGAGCAGAGAAGCAGAAATCTCTTGGATGAAATACGAGGGGATGTTGCAACAGAAAAGGAGGAGTTTGGTGACAAAAAAGTGGAAAATTTGAAAGTTGAGAGAGAAGTAAACGAGACACAAGAGATTCCTTTGGAAGCGAACAGAACAGCTGAACGAGACGACGAACCTGTGGCAAACAGGACCGATAAAAAGGAAGAAAAGTTTTCAAACGTCGGTGAGAGGAAATGGGAAACGGTGGCGAAAAGTGACGAAGAAGACGCAGAATTTGACAGAATAATCAGCAGCATGCTGATGATAACCTTGGAGGACATGCGTGTGGAAACGATGGACAAAGACGGAAGAAAGAGCAAACTGGAGAACGACAGAGAGAGGGAGAGTGGATCGAGAACGAGGCCTGCTGATGCAGAAAGCAGAGATGCTTCAGAGGAATGTCTTTCAAATGAGAGGCCAGAGTCCGCAGTGAAAGAACAGAAGGAAACTGAAGGACAGATTTGCAATAAACGGGACGCTAGAGACATGACAAGTAGAAGTGAGAACACAGAGGAAGGACTTTTACATTCGGTTAAAGACAAACTTGCAGATATGACAGTGAAAGAGACTCTGTCAGAGGCAGAGCCCATGAGTCCAGAGGGTCAGAAACAGGATGGAAGAGGAAGCACAACAGACCAGGAAGCAGCAGAGACGAGGACAGACGTGGACCAAAAACCAGACGGCATGGAGCGGGGTCACTCCTCTGATCATCAGCGGGGGTTCCTGTCACCAGAGGAGATCCAGAACGTGAGTATGACAGCTTCAAAAATGTTAGTTTTTAACATCTGTTTCCCCTCAAACTGTCTGATGTGGGTAAGGTGAGCATAAGTGCAAAACAAGTGTCAGTTTCTTTGAACATAAATCAGGGAAATATTCAGAAGCAGCTCTTATTTAGTTTTAAAATAAAAGAAGAAACACATTTTAAGTTTTTTGGAGAATACAACAGGAAGTCTCTTGTTATAAAGCTAACGGTTAGTCCTGAATGATTGAACATTTAGTGCCATTTAAGAGAACGATTTTGCTCTTTTTGTCCAGATTTACAAGAACCTTTTCTCACCGTCAGGTTAAAGCCACCTGTCTGTGTTTGTGCTGCAGAGATACTCAGCAGCGTCACTACGCAGCATCACCACCGAGGTGCTGAAGGTGCTGAACGCCACCGAGGACCTCCTGCAGGGAGCAGAGGGCCGAGACGACACCCGGCTCTCCATCGCGCTGCCACCGAACGCGGACCCCAAGAAGCTGGACCAACAGTTCTGGAGACTGGAGGAGAACGTAACTTCATTTTATGAAAATATCTTTTAAGACAGTTCATTCGAAAATAACTCAATATTGAAAGATTCCTCGTGGTGCCCCTTTTTGCCAGCGCAGGTCACACACGTGAGCACAGTTTGTAAGGTGCTAATGTTGCCAGCTACCTTGGCAGTAAAGCTCTTTAGTGTTTTTGTTCATTTTTAAGCCCTAAACGTTTTCAGGTGTGTTTGTCTTGCTGCAGGTTTATGTGGCCGCTGGTTCCGTGTACAGTCTGGAGGCGGAGCTCAGCGATCTGGAGGAGTGCGCCAGAGAAATCTGCAGCTCCACGTCCAACATGGAGTTGTTCTATCTGGAGGAGCAGGTGGCTGCAGCAGCTGCCAGGGTTCAGCAGTCGGAGCTGCAGGTGACACGGGCCCATCTCGTCCCATTTAACGTTACACAGAAGGGGTGCCCGACCCACCACGAGCCATTTGCTAAATCAGCAGTTTTGTTTTAGACAGAATGAATCTGCAGTTCATGTAAAATCAACTAAAACATCTAACAGTGGTGTAAGGTATGCACCTCATTGTTTAAAGGCCTGTTTCTCCTCCTGTTGCAGATCAGCAACATCTCTGCAAGAATTGCTGCTTTGAAGAGCGCCGGCCTCAACGTAGACCCTCAGTCTCGCTTCAATAAAACCCCCAGGACCACCGCAGATATGGTACTTGACACAGTTTCAAAACAGGATGTTGAGTTTTGTACTATTATTAAAATATGGAATTTTATTTATGTCTAACAGGCTGCAACCCTGGACTCCTCAAGACATCTGAGGAGGAGATTACCTGCACCACCTGTGAAAGGTAGGGTCACAGTAACCTCCTCTACACAGCAGCACATTGTGCTGTTTATTATTTCACTGAGTTTATGACTACAGTAAACAAGCTTATGACGGATGACACTAAAACTCAGCTTTTGTAGCATCTTTGCTTGTATACAATATAAATTAAGACAATTAGCAGAATTTACCAATTGGAAGGTTAAGTTAAAAAGTCAGTATAAAAACTGGCTGATATACTTGTAGTTTATATTGTTTGTTCTCAAATGAACTAGAATACAGTGTGAGTTATGTCACAGGACACCTTTTTATTTTTTAATTTATTGAAATTTCAAGATGGCCACCACAGCTAATTACATATCACTTTGGTTCAACCGTTTCAAGCTGATCAAAATGAAAGTGTGTTGTGTGTTTTTTCACTCACCCTGCAGTTTATGTGCAACTCTTGGGGTTTGATGGATGAAAATGTTTAATTTTAGCACAAACTGCATGAATGCACAAAGTTACTTGCCACATTTACTGTATAAAATTTAGCAAATGTTTTGGTTCAGTTTTATTAATCAAGTACTGAAATGGTGCATGTTTATATCTGATCATTATTTATAGTTCAGACTTAGAAAATTGTGACACTTAAGTTCATGAAGATGTATTTCACTACAACATTTGGAACTTCATTTGAAGAAACCACAAATGATCTTTTGTGTAAATTATTCATGCTTCTTGCTGAAATGTGGAAATGTTTTAGTACAGCATGTTTCAGATTACAAATTAAAATGTTTACATGTTTATTTTCTTTTCTTTTAGGAGACAAAGAAACCTAAACCATCAGTGTGATACAGACCCTCCAACCATCAGCAGTCTTTCTGCAGGCCGGTCCTAAATGATCCATTCAGACACTAGTTGCCTTAATTTACCTTCAAACTAGAAATGCCTCAAACTGTAGACACTAGCACTTTATGTATCATGTCAATAATGCAGAAAATAGACAATTTCAGATCCAGATAAAAAAGACAAAAAAAATAAACTAGCCCTGCAAATTGTTAAACATATGAGCTAATGTAGCATGTTATAAAATTTCTGTCTATAATTGTAAAGCCAGAGCAGTTCTGTAATTTATTCCTGTATTTTTCCATCAGCTGGGTCTGCTTCAGTGTTTTCTGCCTTTTAAGCACAACAGAATAAAATCAAAGTTGCACAAATCTGAGTCAGTGGAAGGTGGGCGTCACGGTGAGGAATTTAGTGTTTTGGAAATCAGGAAATGACACTTGAATATGACATTCCTCTTTGTGAAGGAGGTGTGGAAGAAGACGGTTCGGGGGAAACAAAGACCATCTTGAAGGGAAACAGTTTGAAGCATCACCTCCTGCTGTGAATAAAACCAGCATTTTTTTTTCCCTTTACATAAAATTGTTAGTCAAACAAGCTAAATATGTGTTAGAATGATGAGGTTTGTGTGTCTCAGGAAGCTTCTTGTCCATCAGGTTAAAAAAATAAAAACCCCAGAGAACCAGCTCCCAGTCCTAACCGGATGTATAGTTTTAGTCAGGAGTTCTCCGAGCCGAGGACGCGCTCCCTCTGATCAGGAACAACGAAACCTTCTTTCTGTTCGCTCTCTCTTCTGTCCGACAAGAAAAAAAACTGTTTGAGGTCGATGACGACCGTGCCTTCTCTGTCCTGACCGGGAGCCTCCACCTCGGTGTACGAAGGGCGACCGGAGCCGCGTCTGAACTTCAGGATGGGCCAGTAGGTCGGGCGTCGCTGTGGGAGAGTTCACATATTTAAATACAGAAGGAAGTAAAATTTAACTTGAAAGAAAAAAAAAAACAAGGTTTTAAAGTTTTGCACACAAGTTTTATATAGTAGAAGTATTCTTTATACATCCATTTGTACATTTTCGTGTAGCATAGATCAGGTGCTGAACACCCCCTTGCACCCCCACTTCCCATGGCCTAGCTTGCACTTTGTTTTTGAGGGGAAGAATTATTACGTTGAAGAATTTTCCTATCCTCTCACCTCCATGAGGAAGATGCTGACACTGGAGGTCGGGTGACGGTACATGTAGATGGACACCAGGAAAGCTGCTACCAAGACAACAATCACGATGATGACGGTGCAGACCAGGAAACCAGAATGACTTTCTCCTCTGCTCTCAGTATTTTCTGCTGCTCAGAGTTTTAAAATGACACAAAATGTATCAATTGAACTGTCACAACAGGTTTAGTCAAGTGAAATTCAGTAGACAGTTTCTGCCAAACTTCGAATCATTATTTTTTATACAAGAACATTTTATTCATTTTTTTAACTCAAAGAAAAGTTCAGTTTGTTACCGTCTGTAGATGTGCTGGTTGCCTGCTGTGCACTTGACTTGTTTTCTCTGCTGAGTGAAGACTGGTGGGTGGTGGTGGAGGTCTTGGTGAGGGAGGTGGGCGTCATGTTGGAGGTCCTCTGCAGCGTCCAGGTGGCGGCTGCAGGAGTGGACGTGTTCGTCAGGCTGTGCGACGAGCTGTTTCTGATGTCAGCCAGCGGGAGACATCGCACATCTCGTCTCTGGGAAACAACAACAACAAAAAATAAAAAAGGTTTTGTATTTGTACAGACACAGCCATGCCACGGTACGGACTTTTTATGACAAACCTCAGGACAGCCGAGGTCGACCCACTCCTGCCGATAACGATCAAATCCACTGGAGCATCTGAGAAAGAAGGGAATGGTTTCTGTTATTTACAAGCATGTTGAGCATGGGCATCTCATGGCCCTAAACTGTCAATAATAATAATAATTATAATAATAATAATAATAATAATAATAATAATAATAATATGAATTTTTCTGCACACAAACCAAAAATGTCTGCTCTTCTTTTGTAACCTACTTTTGCAGTGCTTTTATTTTGAAGGCGAGTAAGCGTTTAGCACCACTGGGAAGAGAAGTTTGTTAGATTTTTTTTATTACTGTCATGTCTGCACAAGGTAAAAAACAGTAAACAAAAACAATGTTATGGTCTTAAATATGAACTTTAAGTGTTTGTTTGCAGAAGCAGAAAATAAATCAGAATCATCAAATTAAACCCAGAGAAATAGTAATTAGTAGTTTGTTGTAATTTACTTTTATTTTGGGTATAAAAAGGGGCAGGTATAAGATTTATTATTCTTCTGCTGCCTTTCATTTTATTTTGATTTTATTTTGTTTGCATGTTTATTTTTATTTTGTGTATATAAAATTGTTACAAATAAAACGAATAAATTATATGTATATATAAAAAGGAAAATAGAGCAGGCATGTGCAACAGGAGTCTCGCTGTCCAAACTGTAAAACCCAAAGTGTTTTTTTGCTAAGATTTATACATCCAGGAACAGAGCAGACAAAACTAGTTTTGAGAAATCTCACAAAATTACCAAAAAAACAAAACAAAAACAAGAGAACTGTTCACACACGGATAATATCGGAAAATATCCTCACATTCTGCACAAGATGTCTAGTTTAGTTTGTGCTACCTTTCAAGCATCCATCCCTCCTTGTATAATGAAAGTTTGTATTCAGTTTACCTTTGCAGACGGCTGCACCAACTGCAGTTGAAGCCAGTCTGAGAAGCAACACACGAGCTGCAGCTGGAGAACTGCAGACACGCTGAGGAGAAAGAAAACAGGATGGTGAGGGAGGCAGAAACTGCTCGGTCCGGTCAATAAAAACATCACGCACTGGGAAGAGGAAGCATCTCCACGGCTGTAGAACTGGAGATTTTCGACTTCGGGATGTTGACTCTGTGATACTCGTAGATGGTTCTCCGGCGAACATCTGAAATATGTTGGAAAAGTCTTTGCATTATTAATTAAGCTAGCATTATTTGAAAGAACGCTCATTTCCTGTCGCTTCGCAGGCTTCTTACTGGGAATCTGTTCCATTTCATGCAGCACCACAAAAGCATCCGATAATCCCACTTTGACGGGATGATTCTCAGAGCTGATGTCACTGATGTTGACAGGAATCTAAACAAAAAAGCGACTGCGTGAATATTCTGTCACATTTGGAGATTTTTTTTTAAGAAGTGGACAAAAGTCACCTCTTTGTAAGCAAAAACAATGCGTCCATCAGCGTGCAGCGTGGCCTGAAAGGTGAAAGTTCCAGCGCTGATGTTGTCCTGGAGGTAGATTCGGTTCCACTGAACCACTAATGCAGTTCCTGGAGGGCAGGAATAAACAAACATTAAGGTCAAAAACAATAAAACATTATTTATCCACTGATTTACAATCCTGTAACTATCTCACCATTGTCCCGATAAAACACAGTGGAGTTTTTGGAACGGCTTGGGTCAAAGTTGGCCATTAGAGGAGCGATGTACTGGGTAGCTGTGAGCATCTGGTGGATTATATCTCCGGTGTAAATGAAACCTGAAAGAGCTAAACTTATTAAGGCAGAAATCAGGAATTTATGATTTCCCCCCCCAGTAGGACAATCATTTTTATCAAACTTGACATTTGCATTGTTTTGTTCTCAAAATCGTACAAATAAATTGAAATTGTGTAGCTTTCTGAAAGAAAAATTAATCAGGATTTAGAAAACATTCATCTTTATTCCAATTTACTGTTGGATACAAGGAAAAGACAGAACTTTAACAAAACGTTTGAGTGAACTTAGACATTTATATTTTTCTAATCATCCTCTTTAAAATTAGCAGGTAGTGTTGTAGTCAAGACCACCTAACCCGAGACCAAGTCAAGACCAAGACCACAGTGTTTCAAGACTGAGACAAGACCAAGACTTTTAGGGTTTGGACCAAGTCGAGACCAAGACCAAGGGAGGGTGAGACCGAGACAAGACCAAGACTTTTAGGGTTTGGACCAAATCGAGACCAAGACCAAGGGAGGGTGAGACCGAGACAAGACCAAGACTTTTAGGGTTTGGACCAAATCGAGACCAAGACCAGTGTCTCAAGACCGAGACA